GGGGGGGGGGGGGGGGGGGGGGGGGGGGGGAAAGCCCGAACGTGCGTTGTCAGCACGGAGAAGGAGGAAAGAAGAACCAGGAAAGGAAATAGGTTAATTTTTTCAAATTCCAATGAAGAAGGTTAAAAAGAAAAAAAAGACACTCTCCGACTTGATGCTTAGAATGTAAATTTATTATTGGAAATGGAGAAGCGCGATTACCCCCCAGGATGAAGTCCCATAAGGTCCTTCGATTCGTGATGGACACGACCTGTTGCAAAATAACTAGATGGAATCATCCATTGCCGATATGGAAAGCCGTCAATACCCTGCCTGTTTTATCCCTAAAAATTAACATATTTCAAAAATGGGGCAAAATTGGGCGGTTCAGGAAAATTGCCAAAATTTAGTACCAAGGAGTTGGCGTAGCACGTTGCGGATTGGTATGCGGTATCTTTCATGTCTTACCTAGGAATAGGATTCGACTTCATAGAGAAATCAGCGACGATTTCTTCCCCTCGACAATTCTAAATGTTGTTGTCAAGCGCCTCTGCGGGGCAAAACTGGGTGCTCCTCCAGATAGTGTTTTACAATGTTTTTATTCATGATGCATCCCTATTTAAATAGGTCACAGAACAGAAACATCGATGAAATATCTACAAATCAAAAACTAATTGTTATTAACGTGCTTTCCCGTGTCCACTTCCCCACGCTTTCTGTAAGAGTAGAAAATATTTTTTGAAACACTTCCCTCCCGTGATCTACCCTATAGGGAAATATTTCAAAAGTACGATTTTTTCTGCAATTTCCAATCGAACTGGTACTTCTGAGCAAAGTTTTAATTATCTAAATCTCTCCCTCTCCTTGGATCAGAAAGAATCCGGGAAGTGCGCATTTCCAAAAAAAAATACTCTGAGGGGTTTTACCTAAAAAAATATTTTAAGTTTTTCATTTTCTAAATTTTCTGGTTCATGGTTAGAATTGGCGTGCGTCCCTCAGTCACGATGGAAAGTAGTGCTTCTACGCAGAGAAAATATATAAAGCAGACGCACCTCGCTCGTCTGCCTTTGTTCGTGGTTGACAGAATAAAACATATGAGTCCATTAATTAACCTTCTACAATCATCAGAAATCTCATTATCTTACATTTTCCTCATTCAACGTTGGACGATGGGATTGATTGATGGTAACGAGTAATCTATTACAATTTTTTAAATCTATTGAAAGCCTTAAAAACTTCGTCTCGAAAAATGACCCAATTTCCTATATCGGGTGAGTTTTTAATTGAGATTCAATGTTAAAAAAATTTGACCATCAAAAATCCATAGCGTTAGAATGGTCTCAACCGATTTAAACGTTACTTTTCTGCAATTGCATAATAAAAAATGAAAGGAACACGAAACGACTTAAGGGGCAGGCTCCAGTCCCCGACGAGACACCCTTCGCACATATGACACCGATGTTGTACTCGCTCGGGCAAGCCTCCCTGGGATGGAAGATCGCATCCAGTTTCCACAAGGCGTTGGGCAGGACCGCCGACGTCTAGACGATCCGACCCCATCCGAACATCGCGGTGCAAGCTCCCGCATCGTAAACGATGTCGGACCTCGGGTTGCAGATAGGTCGCACGGCTCAGCTTTAACACTGCGATGTCAGGAACTGCAAAACATCATCGGTTTTCATCGATGAAGGTGTTAAAGGGAAATCGAAAAATGTATCGATCAGAAATCTTGCATGGGGTCGTCCTTCCGTGGACTTTGTAGGTCAGAGGGTCTTTCTTTTTTTCTTCTCAGCCTTCCTCAGTGGAATATAAAATGAAATAAAATAACATATTTCCTTTCCTCCTCCTCGGTGCTGACATTGCACATTCGGGTTTTTCCTCCTCGAGG